CTAACAAACAGAATATAATAGGTATACGAGTTCTGTTTAATCTGAATCGATCATTTCAATTTCTTTTTCTAGAGGATAGTTGTATCTCGCCTCGAAACATACCGGGTCGATGCATCAATGTGCACAGCTGTCAGCGAGTGATAAACATTCTACAACAGCAAAAGCCTCTGTCGAGCGAGATTGTGCTGTACTTGAAAAGCTTGCAATGCGGCACCGAAGGCAACAGTCCCAAAGTGTGCTGCGAGCAGCAACAGGTAAACGTTACTTTGTTGTACGTACAGGTGATCTCGATCTATTTACGGTAGTTCACAGCCACAGTGAATTATGTGCAAATACGTAAGGACCATTCCATGGGGGAGTAAATCACTTTTGTACTTTAATTGTACTCCGGTTAAAAATGGGGGATGGATATAAAGGGAGACACGACACTGTCACATCTCCAGAAAGATTAGCTATTTTCAGAAATTCTTTACGTGCAATTACTATATTATTAAGAGATCGAAACTTTAATACATCATATTTTTACCCTCCTGGAGATGGAGATCCTATTCTCTATCAACGTTTATTCTGATTTCTTGGACATCCCGAAGTTTATAATTTTATTTTACCAGGATTTCGATTAATTTCATACATTATTTTTAACGAAGGAGGAAAAGAATGAAGAATTGTTCTGAAATTTTCATTGCATTCTATTGAACATTTAAACAAATGAAAACGGCATTCTCGAAATGTATACCATTCAAGAAATGGAAACAAAATCGATTTTTAAACAAATTTTACAGCGCCGTCCCCTTCTGAGTCATTATTTTTCTACTTTCATAATTTTAAAAAACAAACAAGTCCTTACGATTTGCGTTTTTCTCGCGAATATTGCACAAATCGTGGATTTGAAGTACACGATGAAATAAACATGGTGTTAGACACCAGCAGCCCCTACGCCCACGATACAGAGCCCGATACCGTCACCACCCGACGTCTCGAATCATCCTAATCTACGACTACTGAACGAGGACATATGTGGACCAGCAACGGTGCCAAAACTGATTGGCGGCGAGAGGACTGGCGTGTTGGATTTTCCGTGGATGGCGTTGGTCGCCTACGACACGGGCAATGGGATTCCCGAATTTCGGTGCGGAGGAACGGTAATCAACAAACGATACGTGATGACCGCTGCTCATTGCGTCACGTCGTTGCCCAGAGGTAAGTCGATCGTATCTAAACAATAACTGCGAGCTAACCAATGATACATGAATATAATCGAGTAAATGGAGTGAACGAAACGTGCACGCTAACTGTAAGGATTGCACCGCTTTAACGGAAGAGAGAAAACGATGTAGGATTATATATTTTTCAAGTCGTACAAAATGGATCTCGCCCTACACGGACTAACGGATAAATAATAAACATCGCGTTACGTTGATATTATTTTCAGGTGTGAGAGTGGTCGGAGTACGCCTAGGAGAGCACGACCTGGACTCGGAACGAGACTGCGACAGAGATGAGACTGGCAGAGAGATCGTTTGTGCCGATCCACCCCAAAATATCGATTTGGAAAGCGTCCACACACATCCGGGATTTTCCGTATCACAGATGCGGAATGACATTGCTCTGCTTCGATTGAATAGAAATGCTGATTTCGCACCGTTAAACGTGCGACCAATCTGCATGCCGCTCGGAACAGCTGCACTCTTCAACCAAAAAAAGGTAAACTATGTACTCAAGAATAAATACACTTCAAACTTGGGGATTACTACGTAGAAGTAGGCCTGCATCGACGTAAAGGAAGAATTATTACGATTGAAGTCGAAACAATATTATGTAAAGTCAGCCTCAAAATTGAAGAATTTTAATCGATCGTATTAGAAGAGATAGTATTGCTTGGGAGTAAAAAACATTGGTCTGGAAAATACTCGGTACGGTTTGCAAGCTAAGGCTTTAAGCTTCGAGTTACTAAGCACTTCAAATCTCAAAATTGAAGAATTTTAATCGATCGTATTAGAAGAGATAGTATTGCTTGGGAGTAAAAAACATTGGTCTGGAAATTACTCGGTACGGTTTGCAAGCTAAGGCTTTAAGCTTCAAGTTACTAAGCACTTTCAATCTCAAAATTGAAGAATTTTAATTGACGATATTAGAAGTGAAATCACTGCTTGAAAGAAAAAACCGTCCCTCTGGAAATCACTCGATACGATTATTTAATTTAGAAAAGTTTTGGTTGTTTATTTCGTTGTCACCTTTTGTATGATTTTCCACAATGCCGCCTACTTTGCCTCTTTTGTTTTCCTCTTTCATTTATTCAACCGCGCTACACAAAGGGTGCATCTACTCCGTGTCTGGATGCATCCATTGATGTGATTTTCTGTATTTCTTGCTCGTTTTTATACCAAACATTTATTATTACTGCGCTGCGGTTTTTTATACATGTATACCAAATGAAAATATGGAGATACCCGTGGAAACGTGCACAAATGCAAATGCATTCGTAAAATAAAATCTTTGCAAACGCACCTACGAAAATTGACCCTACATAGGAATTTATTTTACTCTGCAAATATCGTAATACGAACTTTACTTTCGATATTTCTTTATATTTTTCCATACTGTGTGCATTTTATAGTTTCTTGCGTAGTCAAATTTCCTGTAGATGCATTTAAAAAAAAAAAAAAAAAAAAAAAAACGACAATTTAATAATAATATTCTAGTTACATTATTTAGAAGATAAAACGAACTTTTGTTTAAGCTTAAATTCTCTTTCGGCAGTTTAATTATTATGTTCTCGGCTACCAGGTGACAGTGACGGGTTGGGGTGTGACGGAACTAAAGGTGCCCAGTCAGTCGTTGCTGAAAGTCAAGTTGGATGTAGTTAACAGCACGGAATGCGAGCGAGCAATCAAGGGAAAGACACGCATTTGGCATAAACACATATGCGCGGGTGGTCGCAGAGGTATGAATTCGTGTGGTGGCGATAGCGGTGGACCTCTTCAGAGTCCGAACTTCTACAATAATAAGGTGAAGTATATTCAGTACGGAATAGTCAGCGTTGGGTTTAAGAGATGCGACACCGAGGGAGTCCCTGGAATTTACACCAATGTTGTATATTACATGGACTGGATCCTGGACACTATTAGGCCGTAAGAGAACATTTTGAATTTCACGGTACAGAATAATAGAAACATTCCATCTCGAAACATTTGGATTCCACTAACGTTATTTGATGCTGGCGCCAGTAAAATTAGCCTCGGTAATATCAACTGAATTTACGTTTACCGAATTTTTATTAACGCCAGTAAAGTTAGCGATAATAGAATCAATTCAATTTACGTTTTCGACATTTTTATTGGCGCCAGTAAAAATTCTATACGAGCCACTTTGCACGTTGACAGCAATTAAGTGTGCAAGTGAACAACTCAAGTACTGTTGCATCCCTTAATCCTGTGATTTTCCTCCTCAATTTTCCATATTTTTTTTTTTTTTTTAAATTGTAGTCCTTTAAGTATTTTCTATTAATTCACAAGCCTTCAAAATGTAGTGCAATCTTCATGTGAAACGTTTCTCGATTACTCTTGTAATTCAAGAGTTGTACAGACACAAATAAATCGAGTGACTCTGGCACAAAGGGGTAGTCTCTCTCTCCCTCTCTCTCCTCCCTCTCCCCCAGACGAAAAGTCATAGCAGCAAAATATAATACTCAGGGTCCACCGATTCCCGCAAAGTTTCGTCGAAATCGGGGTCTGACACTTCTCCATTTGCGAGTTTCCAATCGGGAATATGTTACGGTACCCGCGTATACGAATTTTCAATGTTACAGGGGAATTATCTGTCTTAAAAAAAATATATACAGGGTGTCCCAGCGTCGGTGGTACAACCGAGACGAGGGTGATTCTACATAAAAAAAACAACAAATAGAAAATAAAGAATAAAATTTGTTCGTTCGAGATTTCGTTCTCGAGAAAATCGGTTTTGAATATTCAGCGAGTACGCGTACACGTGACTATGGTTTACATGGATGGATCCTGATACAAGTCACATGTATAAACATACACTTATAAGTAGTACTCTTATACATGACACTTATAGGTAGTACTCATATCATTAGTATCAAGATGGTGTGCTGTATTACTAATTTCTGTCTACGAATTTAGAGTGAATTTAAAGTCTGTATCGCGATCCATCTATCTAGGCCATAGTTAAGTGTACCCGTACTCGCTAAATATTCAAAACCGATTTTTTCGAGAACGAAGCCTCAAATGAAAAAATTTTATCCCTTATTTTCGATTTGTTTTTTTCATGTAGTATCACCTCCTTCTCGGTTGCACCGCCGATGCTGGGACATCCTGTATAACGAACACGAGGTCTTGTAAAGTCTGTCTTACAAAAATGAAGTCACGCTCTACTAATTTTAGCGATCATCCTATATTTGGAGAATTCTAACCCAACGCTCGGCACGTAACACCCGAATTAACAGAAGTCAATAAAATTAGTCACAGAGGAATTATCCGTCTTAAAAATATATGTAACGAACACGAAGTCTTGTAAAGTCAGTCTTACAAAAATGAAGTCACGCTCTACTAATTTTAGCAATTATCCTATATTTGGAGAATTTTAACCCAACGCTCGGCACGTAACACCCGAATTAAGAGAAGTCAATAAAATTCCTAAATAGCGCTCAAAAAGTGAATTCCAAACTGTCGCTAATAATAAAAAAGAAATAATTTCAAAAGAAATAACAAAATCAAAATGATCTCTTCGAATAATAAAGAATATGCTCGATAAACGAATAAACGACAGGGAAATGAAATCTAATCGACCATGACGATATTTTGATCGTTTTCAAGGTAGGCGGCTACGACCTCGACGTTTGGTTTTATTTGTTTGGTTCCGACACGAGGAGGCAATAATTTTGACGATCGAATCGACAGTGCTATTCTGCTTGATGAACACGGACAACCACTCTCCGGCTGTCATTGACAGAACGATAACTCACTTCAGAAAATCCCGCGGCGCGATACTGCGATTAATGAAATATTGAAAAACGATAGTAAGTGGTCCTATCGTTTCGCGATCGTTCAGCCCGACTACGGTCACCAACTGTGCTCTTTTAAAGTTATTCGTACTCTTTCTGAAACGTTGAAGCGACGTATCGTTCGCTTGTCGAAGACAAGTGTGCTCTTTTCAGAATAAAAAATATATATATATATATTTTTGTAAGACTGACTTTACAAGACCTCGTGTTCGTTATACAGGATGTCCCAGCATCGGTGGTGCAACCGAGAAGGAGGTGATACTACATGAAAAAAACAAATCGAAAATAAGGGATAAAATTTTTTCATTTGAGGCTTCGTTCTCGAAAAAATCGGTTTTGAATATTTAGCGAGTACGGGATTTTATATATATATACATATAAAATCAAGTTACCTAATCTAATCTAATGTATTATTTATATTACAGGTCTTGTACAAGTACTCGAAATGTATGTTATAATTTGTATTTCAATTATGTTTTCGTGGTAATAGCGATCGAAGGTTGTGATGATTCAATTAATATTTAATATTCGTGCCAATAGAAATTATGTTACTGAAACATTTTTGTTATATTGATATACCTCTCCCTTCGACTTTCTCAAATCTGTATTTTCTTTTAAGCCATTCACTGCCAGGCAAATTTAAAGCGTTTCATCTTGGGCACCAAGATTTAGTACAAATGCGTAACTTAGGTTATTATTTTGATAATAAAAAGTGACATTAAGTTTGTTCTTCTAAAAAGAAAATTTGCGATCTCCTTTTGCAATAATTCGTGACTGAAAAGGCTATAAACTTATCCCTCGAGTAATTGCAATCAATTTGAACCACTACTTTGCATTTTATAGAAAGAAAAAAGGAGTAAACGAGCATAACTTTAAACTCGATTAGGACCAACAAGGTTGCTAGTATTGTAGTTGCCCAAAATGTAAAGTACACAGTATTGTTGCTATTTAATTCATCGAAAATATTTCACCACTAAATTGGCCACGATAGCGTTCCGTTAAAGCGTGTTATAATTACGAGTTACGCAGCGGAAGGATATGTATTTTCGATCGGCCCGAGTTCAAGTGGGGCCGAGTAACTATTAGTTCAAGCATTGGGCGCTCGTTTCCAGTGGGAACCGTTTGTTTTCGGGAAGGACAGGTAATTGCATGCTACGGCAACAGGTTCTTGGTTTCCAGTGAGCGTGAATTGGTTAGAAACGTTTCGCGGGGATGAAATCGCGTCGCTGATCTTCCATTCAAGGGAATCACGTAAATACGCGAGACACGAAATTAATCTAGTCAGAGTAATTTAAGCGAAAACCTTGGCAAAGGTTTCCTATTCAAGTTTCACGGTCATCGTGTGCCAAAGGACAGATTACACCAGATTATTCTAAACGAAGTTACTCCCTATCATTTACTGCACATTAAAATTATTTGTTTAGTTTTGAATTACTCTGTTATTACACTGATACAATGGTTATGTTTTCCGTATCAACATTGAGAATGTAGTTGCTTGGTTTGTTCGTGAAAATGATTAAAATGCATTTAATAATTACGTAATTCATTTACGAATTAATTTTAGATGAATTGCTTTATTATCTTTGTCAAATAATTTGTCTAGTTGCCGCTGGTAAGACTGTTCGAACGATAATTGTAGAGTATGCAGGACTGTACAACCTGTCGATAGCAGGGCCTTGTTATACGACTTATAGTTGCAACTCGACGCACAACCAATCACAGAATAAATCATTGTTTCCCAGTAGTGTCATTCCAAGCTTTCGATTAATCTTCATTAGAGGTTTCAACCATGAAGTTTCATGATTCCTTTCGTAAAAATGCAGAACGGTTATTCCTATAATGTTCTATAATGTAGCACGACATCGTAATAATTTTGTAGTTATATATATATGATTCATTTATAGTTGAAGAAGACCAACAAATATGGTCGACACTTTGGTTTACATTATTCTGAAAATTCTACAGACACTATAAAAAAAAAATAATATAATTTATTCACCGTTTAAATAGTTAGAAGGATAAATACTGCATATTCTTATTTTATTTTTGAATTTAATGTTGCCATTTAAATGTTGCAGTCTTTTAAAAATATATATACACATCCAAGCATATCAAATTTACCTTTTTCAGAACGAATCATCACGTCTATGGCCCCCGTCTGAATATTTCGATACAAGAATATCAATTTCAAATTTCAAAACCGCCTGTATCGAAATTATTAATATACATTTCCAAATTCGTCGTTAATGAAAACGAACACGTTGACTCGTTCGGCCATTGAATTTCATATTTCGGAACAAAATGGAAATTAATTCGACCATTTATTTGACATTTCCTACGTTTTCTACATCTATACTATGTTAAACGAGTACTATTGTGTACCCTCTAACACAACAAAACTTTCATCGAATTACAATTGTACGCCGCTTTGGCCAAAGCAATCAGCTAATGCATCGGTCCGAGAAAAATATACGATTGAAAATGTGGTAAGCGTGATATGTATATTTTCAGATCTTTTTGTTTTCGTGAAAGAGAATCGATTTTCTTTTTTTCAAAACTTTTACCCTAGAATATCAAAGTCTGAGAGGTCTAACGTTCTGAGCTCAAAAGATAAGATCTCATTTAAAATTAACTCCAAAGAAATAGATCCAAGTCCAGACATTTCCTTTTACCAAATGTTTATATCGATCTCGAGGACTAAGGAAACATTGTTTCGTTTATTATAAACTATATAAATTTCCTAGAGGATAACTATTTCAGAAGCCCGGTAACATCAGATTGTATCAGCGAACAAATTTCTAACTGTACTTTCAAAAATAAGGTCTTCCTTTTAATAAAAAACTTTCTCATTTCGTACTCGCCATTTTAATCATTCTATATAACTTCTTTATGCACAGGTTCCTTTCGAAACGACTGCCTAGCGATAGCTACAATACCCGCGCAGCAACGTTACTTTCGACACACGTACGCACGAGTTAAACAAAAATAAATGTTCTTAGTCCTCAAGACGCATACGAAGATTGCGCGAAAGGAGAAATCAGGATTCGTATTCGTTCCTTTGGAATTAATTCCCAAAAGAGGCTCCATTTGAATACATCTCGACTGTCCAGTCCTACTTAGGGTCACAGACGTTGAGAGAGAAATACCTTGTCGGGGGTGGGTCGCAGAGTCGTGGAGGTGCGATGCAGGGGTGTTGTCGAGTGTTGTCGCGGAGCTTTTTATCGTGAGCGTCTGCGAGGATCGTGGACACCACGGGACAGAGTGACTGAGCTTGCAAGCACGCGACCACTTTATATCCCAACTGGGGTTGGCGACGTTGGTGGTGGAAACGCTACTATACCAGCTGCTCGGTGGTGGAAATCCCGTACCCCCTCCCCTGTTCGACACCGCTCTTTCCAACACGCGTATCTCCGCGCGCGGATAAGAGTCTGCGAGTGCGTCGTACGACGTGGATTCTCACGGATTCCTTCAACTTTCAAAAGAAGGAATTAAAGTTTCCAAAAAGAGTGCAAATATCGAGCGTTTCTTGAATATATATCTTTTAGTAAAAAAAAAATTGTTCTTTGTAAAAGAATCTCGAAGAACATTTCATACTTGCCCTCCCCCCCTAATGTCGTTTCCCCCCTTAACTTTGTGTTAAATGCGAATGTTATCGATTACATAGAGCGTTCATTATCGACAGTAGCGATTTTAAACATTTTCCAAATTAAAAATGAATTGTTCGTCGTGGAAGTATCCCTGATACAGAGTTGTGCAAAATTATATTTGAACTGCTCCATGAATTATCGTCAGTTGTTACATCGTCATTCAATCAGATTTACGAGTGCAGTGATTAGAAATTGAATTAAATTGAGAAGTTTCAATTATGTAATTAAATCACGCAAATCGCAATGTAATCGAAATAGAGTACGAGGAAATGGAATTTATACGATTAAAAATGAAAATTTAAATACGAATGATAGTATATTAGCAAAGTGAATGGAAGGCAATATGAATACATTATATGGTGTCGTGGTAACTTAAAAAAAAAAAAAAAAAAAATGAAAATCCAGTCTCATAAAACTGCATGCGGGAATTAAAAATTAAATAAATATTAAATTTCGCTGAAATAACCACGCGCGCAGGGTCATGAACGAAACATAAGACCATGGTTTTAGAAGCTTTGAGATTTTATATCGAATACCTTTGTAATATCTAAAATACAGATTTCCAATAAAATATCACTTTCGTCCATTTAACGTTTTTTCATGATCTTTCGTCAAAGAGGGGGATCGAATTACTTTACACTTCGTGTTTGCTTCGAGAAAAATGTAACTGTAATAGAAAGATTGTCGAAATTGCGTGAAAAATAAATTCACAAGTTTTACAACATTCCCATTATCACTATTGCTTTTTTAGTGACAAATATACATTGCACATGGACTGTTCTGTATCGGAGCAACAATTTGCTGAATCGAGAAATGCCAGCATCTGCCATCGTGGTTTTGTTTACATTGCTTCTATTTTACTAGAAACCGTTGTTGTTACTTTCAGAAACTCGACATTTGCGTTTCTGTTCGTGTTTATGTTGCGTTAAATGGCTCCAATTCCAGCAAGATTTTATCATTCGACGGGTTCGCGTAGCTCGGTAAAATAACAGCAAAATGTGGTTTTAAAGTTCTCGAAGCAAACGATAAAATCGATGGAGATGATTGAGACATACTCGAAGGCATAAAGATTGCATCGGTCAACTGTCGGACAGTTTTGATAAAACTTCACGCGAATGTTCATTGTGCAATCCAGATACTACATATATTTCGTTGCCCCGAATTTTTCGACCGAGAGGAAGAAACGATCTTTTATAGAGTCGCTCGTTTTTTTTTTTATGCATATGTAAATCGTAAACTAGGAAACATATTCAAATATATTTGACATGTTACAGTCGATGAGAGTAAAAATTCAAAAAAACGTAAATTCGATAGAAATCGCTTGATTTCATTTTTTGTTATCGCTGATTTTGATCAGGATCACTTATTTCGTTAGATCAAGCTTCGATAGATAGAGTTAGATAGAGTTTCGTTAGTGCTGCAGATTGTGTTTATATTTAATTAAAAAGTACAGAAATTTTATGGCGACGATATAATGACTTTTGCTGGAAATGTAGAAAAAGATCGTAGAAAGAGGTGGTCTATATTATTATATAATATTCAAGAATATGTCTGATATAGTTATTTGAATAGTAGAAGAATAAGTGGCATTTCGTAGGATGATTGTACATATATGCCTATATTGCCTTGGAATTGGAAAAAGATGTTGAGAAACGTTTCAAATAATAAAATAATCATTCTCAAAATCTAATATTTATCCCTATATTGCCTTGGAATTGGAAAAAGATATTGAGAAACGTTTCGAATAATAAAATAATCATTCTCAAAATCTAATATTTATCCCTATATTGCCTTGGATTTAGAAAAAGATATTGAGAAACGTTTCGAATAATAAAATAATCACTCACAAAATCTAATATTTATCCCTATATTGCCTTGGATTTAGAAAAAGATATTGAGAAACGTTTCAAATAATAAAATAATCGTTCTCAAAATCTAATATTTATCCCTATATTGCCTTGGAATTGAAAGAAGATGTTGAGTAACGTTTCGAATAATAAAACAACCATTTTCAAAATCTAATATTTATGTCTAGACAGTCTCATAATTAGAAGCGATATCGAGAAACGTTTCAAATAATAAAATAATCATTCTCAAAATCTAATATTTATCCCTATATTGCCTTAGATTTAGAAAAAGATATTGAGAAATGTTTCAAATAATAAAATAATCATTCTCAAAATCTAATATTTATCCCTATATTGCCTTGGATTTAGAAAAAGATATTGAGAAACGTTTCAAATAATAAAATAATCATTCTCAAAATCTAATATTTATCCCTATATTGCCTTGGATTTAGAAAAAGATATTGAGAAACGTTTCGAATAATAAAACAACCATTTTCAAAATCTAATATTTATGTCTAGACAGTCTCATAATTAGAAGCGATATCGAGAAACGTTTTAAATAATAAAATAATCATTCTCAAAATTTAATATTAATCAAAATTTAATTACACAGCCTTAGAATTAGAAACGATATTGAGAAACGATTTAAATAATAAAATAACCATTCTCAAAGTTTCTGATCGTTAGATTTCCATTCAGGGTCAATTTCTCGATCCGGCGTACAGTGTTTCTAATCTTTGAAGGGACGCCTGCGTCCGAACTCTAAAATTAGGGTACATCTTGGAGGCTAGAAGCGGATTAGGGTTGCCAAAGGTAACGAGACGCCTAGGTTGTGCACGGATTAGTCACCGTGCGTTGTTACAGTGGATTCTTGAAAATTGAAAGGAAACGAGGACTGAAAATTCCTGCTGCAATTGATATTCGCTCAAAGTAGCCAGTCCAAGAGGAAAGTGCAACGAAAGAAACGCCGAAGACGATAATTCTTCGTTAAATGTTCATGTAGTAAGCGAATGTTCCATGACGCGAGGAGTTAGCGTGTCGTTTGCTTCAACTTCTTTCCACTTACGTCAATTAGACGCTCCTGAACTGTCCTGAAGGACAGTTCTCGTGTCTTGGCTGCTTATCGATCGAACGTTTATGTAAATACATCGCCCATGCTGCTTTCTTTTTATGGAGCACATACGTACAATTATTCCTAATTGGTAGTACATAGGAGACACCAAACACGTCGATCAATTTGCCTCTGAGCTCTCCTTTAGTACTTTTCCTCTCCCAATATTATGGCTAACAGCGTTTCTAACCTTCTTTCAATCTCCAGCGGGACACGTCGATAGTTCCTTAATTAATTTCGTTCGCGTGGCTGTGAGAGATTCGATTATCAGTAGCCTGGACGATTTTCTCCTTCGGCAGTCCATTGGCAGAGGTTCGTCAACGCGGTACCGTTCGATCGAGATGAATCGACACCGTCGAGATATCCCTCAGGCAGACCCTGTTACGCAGTTTGATATCGAGTTATCAGCGAACGATGTTAGCCCTTATCGCGGCGTAACTTTTTTTCAAGGTCTACGATTGCTAGGGGAGTCTATCTAGTACACTGGTTAATAACAAAATATCCGTGCTGGCGCAGTCGAGCTGAACGCTTAAACGATCGATCGCATTTATGGTTGTAATCGCGTGCACTTTCGTTATATTTTTCTATACCGTTCGTCTTTTGTTCAATTAGAAAATTTATATGTATTTTGACGACGTTGTTTCTTACTGATGCACAGATGTTGTTATTATTATGACAACCACTAGTGTATCATAGATCCATTTTGTAACAAATACGTAAAGCGGTCGTCAGATTTATTTTCGTCGAATACTTCATAAAAATTTCACGATTCAGTAAACGAGTTTGTACGTATGGTTAAAAGGCTCTACAAAAAATTTAGTAGATACTGCCTGCGAACCTGGGTTTCCTACTGTGTAAAATATGAACATGGAACATATTCTGCAGATCGAGGGACCAACGTGTCTCGATTATTTCTCTGGTACACGTCAAATCCTTCGCGATGGCCATTCCATTTGTCACGTTTAGCACGGATATTGGTCTTTCGGAGATTGGTATTGGACAGTAGCTGTCCACCAGTTGCCACAAAATGTTTCTGTATTCAACAGTGACCATACGCGTATTATAAATTTCAAAAAACGACGTTGGAAGATCCATATTTAGATTAAATATTCACCTACTTCTGACAAATCTTTACTTTAACGTAAATACTTGCATTCAACCCTCTACAAAATCGCGCTAAAGATAAATTGAGTGCAGAGTGAATGATATGGATACTGAATTGAGGTAAAATATTCCAAGCATATATTTTCTATCATTTTCAACCAGGTACTTGTCATAAACACAGAAATGTTGATCTTGGTAAGCGACCAACTGTAACGCAATTTTAAAGTATTCACCTCAAAAAAGTCATGCAAGTATACTTTTTCTTCTTCTCGTATGATTATCAAGCTAGCTCGACCACAGCGATTTCCTTCCTTTTGCTCTGTCGCCTCTACTAAAATATTGAAACCATTCTATCCGATCCAACGTTAACGCAAAAAGTAGCAAAACGAAGGCGACCTCGGCGAACTCTACTAACAGTTTCAACTTTGTTATCCGCTTTTCAGTCCCCGCCGTGGACATCGAGGTTACGCAATTTATTCACGGAGGAACAAATTTCTTTTCGAACTGAGATTTCGCGTGGCGCGAGGAAAAGTTCATTTTCTTCCTGGCCGTGCATTCGTTTGCTTTCAATTATAAAAAATTATCATATTTCCTGAA